TATTTGCAAAAGAAGCTTGGGGCGGAGAAAAAGCTAGGGAATGGGGAAAATGCAAATGTCAACAAAAGTAGCTGGAAAACGAGGAATTTGGAACATGGCTGCAGCCTGTCGACGTAAAGATGACGAATGTTTATATAGATGTTTATATATATGAGTCAAAGGTACTAGTTGATGGCATTAGAATTATTTCTAAGAGCATTAAAAAGCATTAAATTAGAGTTACTCATTCCTGGATAAACCCTGATATACATACATATACACCCTTATACATACATACATACATACATACACATATACATGCATGCACACAGTCAACTAATGCTGACATGACTGATGTGTTATAAGTCTGTTTTTGAGATGCTTTTTTAAAAGAGTGAATGTTTTAAGATCTCTTATGTTCTGAGGGACAGATTCTGTGACTGCAAAGGCTCTTTGACTAAAAGCACCTTTACGCAGGGGAACAACAGTCTCCTCTAGCTTACTGCCAGTGGGTTCCTGATCTTTACTAACTGACTGAGTGACCATGGATTATTTTGTAAAACAGAGGTTTGCATACTTGATGCCATTTTCCCAGCTTAAAAGCTTATGTTTTTGTAAAATGGCACAATGGTGATATTTTGATATATATATTTTTTTATTTAAAATCTTCATTGTTTTTAAAGAGATTCTAAAGGGTTGCTTCTTGTGTATGTTTGCTTCTCTGAAGCTGGATCTCTATTTCAGCTGAATCCCCTCAGATATCAGGTTACACAGTTTGGCACCTGGTGTAACAGACAAAACTGTCCCTCAAAGGACTTGGAGCTAGCATGGCATGGATGACATGTACACCAAACCAGCACCCCCCCCTCCGGCTGGCCTTTCTGCTGCAGTGGCTGAAATTCTCTATCAATTGCATCATAGAGTTATTATCAGTTTGCTTGACTTGCTGTTGTGGGTGGCGGTTGGGTGAAGCAGTTACCAACTGCGCTTAATTTAATCTGTGTTTACCCTCTGAGGAGGGGGGGCTATATGTGTAAATCAGCGCTCTTCAACGTTTTCCAGGCTTAGGACCCCAAAACTGATGGTGAGATGGAGTGGGGACCCCCTAATTATACATATTGTATGAAATTGTGTTATATCAAACTGGTCCTATAGTCACTATTACAGCTGGAGTAATATATCAAAGTAATTCCTCCCTGGGATTATTAAAGTATTTCTGATTCCTGGTTGATGGGACAGGTGTTGTGAATGAAACGGTCTCCAGCTTGAAAGAGCTCCTGTGTGTCGCTGAATGTGTGCATTGATGACTGAAAGACATCTTCTGCCTCCATTTATCTGTTTACTACAGTGTGTTGAATTCATGTTAATGTGGATTTAAAGACATTTCAATTGGCGGAAAAAATTGCGGGGGGAATATAAAACAAAGTCTAACCAACCAAAACTTTAGTGACCCCCATGTAGTACCTCTGTGGACCCCCTAGGGGTTGTGGACCCCTGTTGAAGACCTCCGGTGCGGATGATGATGGTAACTGGATGCATAATTAGTTCAGTCTTTTGTGTTTTAAATGACTTAAGTTCCAGATTTGAGACGTCGCCATTTGTTTTTAAAAAGCTCACTGCTTTATTTGTCAGAAGAACTGAAGAAGCCTGCTTCTTGTAAAGTTGACTAAGAGACACACCCCACTGCCTGTCTGAGCCTGTGCACAAGCCTTGTTCGTTTGGGAGTCTACCCTCTCACCGTTAAACTGATTATTTTGCTGCCTTTAAATGAAGGAGTGCTCATGGGACATATGATTGAGCCTAAACCCTCAAGTCTTTTGAGTTTTGTGTCCAGACAGGCACGGTCTGTCTCTCTGTTGGGGAAACTATCAGGAAGTTTGCCTGATGAGCTTGTTGATGTGGTTGAACAACCTGGAATGTCCCTACATATATACTTTGCAAAGTAGTTTTAAGTAGATGTTTTTTTTTTGTGTGGCTTTTTTTCCCCCCATGTTCCAGTTACCTGACAGAGTTGGCTATTTGCACTGACCACTGGTCGTATACTTGAAAATCAGCTGTTCCTGTTTATTAAAAGATTTAGAGATTTCTGTGCTTCTTTTCTCCATCTTGCAAAACTGAAAGTGGCTAACTTGGAGTGTTGTTTAGTCAAGAGCCCCATACACGGAGCAGTGTCCTTGTAGCTCTTTCCCTTGTCAGATTTTGGCCTCTATCAGGCTGAATATCAGCTCAGTCACCAGGCGGTTTCTCAGTTTATCAGATCAGTAGCAAGTCAAACATAGGACTGAGCTGTTTGTTTCCATAGAGTTGAGAAAAAACACCCAGACATAACTATCAACAGTTTGAAATTAAGTCACCGCTTTAATGAGATGATTGGAAAACTTTCTCTGGTGTGAAAAGATAATTCAAAAAGAGCTGAGCCTGCTCGGAGGATGGGCAGCCAATCAATTGACTCATGCAGCATGAGCAGGTCACAAGTTGTGGTCATGCTGAAGGACTGTCTGAGCGGCGCAGTGAGAGTTTACAGATTAAACATTGGGAAAAGTTTCATGTGTTCATGTTTAACCTGGCTAACGTTTCTATTAGAAGAAAACTAGTTCAGTCTAAAAACATAATCTCTTCAAGCTTCTTCCTAAAAATGTACATATTGAAATTAGAGATAGTATTTTTTTCTTATATTGGTTGATAACATGCGTTGACAGATTCAATAGAGCGTTGAACAGGGATTCCTTGAGGTCACGTGAAGCCCATGCATTGCTGCTTCCTCTGTTTGCTGTCCATTGCTGCTCTGATTGGGTAATGTTTGTTTAAACTTAGACTAGAGTAGCACTGATATCATTGGGTCATACTATGTTAAAATCAGCTTTAAGAAAAAAAATCAGCAAATATGTGGGATTGCTTAGCCCGATATTTGATAATGGGCACTTGCCTTTAAAAATAAAACATTCTCTATTGAAATAGCAGTGCTGTATTAACTATATGTAATGCAAAGAGTCATTTAGATAACACCTTCACTTGTTCTGGCTCTAAAAAAAAATTCTCGGGGAAAATACAAAGCTAATTTTCCTATTTTGTTGCTATATATGTGCTGAAAGAGGTCTATTTCTGATCTTTCTTACAAACTATAATTTAAAATCATTTATTTTCTTATGGTAATATAAGAGAATCAGAATTTAAACATTTCCAAAAATGTTATCTCTGAGGGTTTTCAGCATATTTTCACTGAGTCTGCCTATTATCTGCTAAAAGTTTAGCCATCTCAATGCCAGAATGAGCAGAAAACCTGCCCCAACAAGTCCTAGAAAATAAAGCTTCTTTAATATTCCCCTCCTATAATACCATGCCTCCCCTTACCTCTTCTATTTTTTCACTCGGATACTGATGATAACTTTCAGTTTTCTTTACTGAGTGAGATCATCCACATAGAAGAACGTTGTTGTCGTTTTAACCTTGGTCTGTTGAATCTTTCTGTCAGTTCTTCTGGTCGGGTTTTTTTTTTAACCAACCATGGTGAAAATCAGCCACTCGGTCTCCAGCCAGGTTCTCTGTTCAATTGTAAATTTTCCCAAATAATGTTTCTCAAGTTTACTTTGATCAGATTTCATGCAATGATAGTTATGATAGCAAGATCATTTGGATTTAGGGGAACATTATTTCCTTCTTGAGGAAAATGTTATTTTATTGAGCTGATTCTGACTGATGTGTGGTTCTAGAGCTGAAGGAAAAAAGCAGCGTTTTGTTACAGGACGTATCCCTGCAGGATTTATGTCCTCGCTAGGGCTGCAACTAACGATTATTTTTACAATTTGATTAACTTTTCATTTAATTTTTTTTTCAGATTAGCTAATCAGATAGGAAAAGGTTCCTTAAAGAAGAATTTTTGCTAACTCAAAAGATTTTTTTATCTTAAATGCCAAATGTTTACAATTTTGGTATAATTGCTACTGTAAATGGGTTTGTCTGTCAGCTAAAGGCACACATTAGAGTAGGGATTTTGGACGATATCCGATATTTTAAAACTCATGTAGCCGATAACCGATACCGATGTTAAAGCTGGACAAAAATAAGTAGTCATTGAAAATAGCAGTTTTCTTATCCATTTCTGACACTTTGAAAAATAATATACTCAAATATATTTTCATATGCTGATATCAAATTGATTTTTAAAAACGCGGTATCGATCTATTTTACTTTCAAAATCTCGTGAAATTTCATCGTTCTGTTACAAACTCTCGTGATATTTTGCAAATTCTTGTGAGATTTTGTCAGTAAAATAGATCGATACCGCGTCAATATATCAACATATAAAAATATGGCAACATTTCGTGAATTTTCGGGGGATTTCGTAGCATAACGATGACATATAGCAATATTTCATTAGTAAAAGAGATTGATATGGTGTTTTTAAATGGCAATATATCAGCATATGAAGATATTGGGATATTTTAATGGATCAATAATTTTTCCCTCGTCTTTAGAAGTTTTTAAGTCTGTAAAAAAGAAGTTTTTGAGGAAGAAGAAGGAGAAACTCAGAAGCTGATCAAATATCGGGTTAAATATCGGTGGGGTGGCCGATGTCCGATATTCAGTTTTAAGGCCGATACCGATAGGGGGCCGATTATATCGTGCATCCCTACATTAGAGTATCTTCACTCCGGTTAATGATTGATCGATTCCTGAATTAATTGACGATTATTTCAATAATCGATTACTCATAATTATTCTGATTAATTGTTTAAGCCCTAATCCTTATCGTCATTCATTGTACCTCAGTTCAACCAAATGTGGAAGATCCGAGAAGGATGAGGTTTCAATTTCCCTAGTTCAGTTAGAGGTTTATTATATCAAATATAAGAAACAACTAATTAGGTTACGTTTAGTTTTTTATCTCTGGCAGATCTAAATTGAAATGATTTTCATTCTATCAAGAATGCTTACAGAAATAAATCTGAATCTGTTGAATCATGATGTTATAGGAAAAGCTGGCCCTGCTCCTCTACAGAAGCTAGGATTGCAGGGGGGAGCGAGTTCCCAGCTTTAGCACAACCCTGTGGGTCAAAGATGAGGCTCCCACCCTGGGCTGGCTTAAGATAATCTTATTGCAAGTATCACTCTTAGCTTAACGATCAAGTCTTTAATCAACGTTAATCCCCTTGTTTGAACGCTGTCGCCTAAACAGATTGTTGCGTACATAAACTGTTGTGGGTTCTCCTTCGTTGGAAGCTTTTTCTTCCAGTCGGCGGACATTCTGGATAAATGAAAAAGATATAGCCATTTCAAATTGGTACTGTATACCAAACCATAATTTCAATATTAGTTTGTTTATTTTCACGTTTTAATTTTTGTCCTAATTAAATCAGCGCTAAAATGTTTAAGGTGTCTTTGTCCATAAACACAGCGGAATATGTATTGTTTGGTTTTGATAAAAAGGATAGTAAGCAAGGTGGGGCAAGGTCATAATTTTCTTTTTAAATCCAAACAAAAATCTTTAAAAACCTGCAGAAAGTTTTTTTTTTTCTGTGCAACAGTCATTAGAAGATTTTTGTCGGTGAATCTGTACTTTGCAGGCTGTGTGGTCCTAAAGACGTCAGATTAAAGGACCAGACTGTTATTTCCTTTAAACCAGGAAACCCCAGCTCCCTGGAACAAGCGAAAACTTAGAGCTGGAGGTAGAGAGTGAAAACTGGAATTCACGCTTCATTACAAATTCACTTTAGATTTTGAAAGGTAGAGAAATGAGCATTTGTTTTGTAACAGTGGAAAGTCACTGGGTTGCATCATTGAAGCTGTTGCGTGGCTCATATGACTTTGCTTCTGCATTTAACATTTAGCTTTCAAGTTTATTGGTTTTTAACACATAGGGTTATAATTGCGCTGGCGGGTAGAACATATATGTTCTATATATAGAACAGACTATCTGTTCATGTTTTAAAGAATAAGAAAAGAGTTTTATCATTGATACATTTGTGAAGATGCCGCTGAGGTGGAGATGGTATCATATTTCCCTCTGGGGAGCTGTTTTCTATTTGCTGACAGTTTGTGTGAAACTGACCCGATAGTGTAGCGTGAAGGGACTAGCTGTAGGTGTACTGGGCTTCCCCCGTCTCCTATTACAGAAGACTTGTTCCCTTTTCTAGTAAGTGTGTCATGAAGGTCTCCATTTGTATTTGCTCTGGTGGCTTTATGGTTTTTTTTTTTTTTTTTTGTTTTTCATCTAAGCCACAGCGTTTCTCCAGTGATAGTGGAGGAAGGTCTCATCTCTTCCCTCAGGGTTTCCACGTGTCATTAAAAGTCATGAAATTAGTATTTTTTTAATCGGCATTAAAATTAATTGTGATTATCTCAGCATTTAAACAGCTTTAATTAAAAAAAATTATAAAAACAATTTCGAAAGACATATATCAGATATAACTGGTTCCCCTTGTTTGTGTTGAACTGCTTCTGGTTGATCGTAAAGCCGTATGTTGGGAAAGGAAGCTTGAGTTAGAGAAAAAGCTAGGGAATGGGAAAATGTTGATAAAAGTGGCTGAAAAAAGAGGAATTCCTGACATGGCTGCAGCCTGTCGATGGTAAAGATGACGAAGGATTTTGCAGTTTTATATATATATATATGAGAGTCATGTGTACTTGTTGATGGCATTAAAATTATTGCTAAGAGCATTAAATTAGAATGCAATGCGCTAGTGAAGCTTCTCAGTCATCCAGGTCATAGTCCTTCCAAAAAAAGAAAATTAAAAACAATCCACTGGACTTTTTGTTTACAAGTTTGAAGATGTTTTGCTTCCCATCCAATGCTGTTGGGCTACTTTAAAAAAAAACTAGAACTCTATTCTTGGCATTTTGAATTGAAAAATATGTTTTGGTACTATAAAAAAAAAAAAAAATGCGGCAAACAATTAACTCAAGCCCTTTTCTTTCAGGTATGGCCTCGCAAATATTGGCCTACCCATCACACCTGCACTCAGCTCAAACAAGTGCCTTAGGAAAGAGCAACAGTGATACCAGCAGACACGCAAGCGAAGCCCCCCGCAGTCATAACACCAGCAGAGCCTTCGAGCAACGACCCCCGCCCAAGCCATATGTGATTGGAGTCAACTACGGAATTGCATTGCCCAATAACGTTATCCCATCTTCAGCTGGTTCTGACCCAGGAAGGCCAAACTTGGGGCCACCAGTTGTTAAAACGGAGAGACCGGCTGAGTCCCAGGATCACCAGATTTCTAAGAGGGAAGCTGGAGGCTTGGAGTGTGGGTTACTGACTAAAGCCTGTTTAGGAGCAGAGGGGGAGGAGGGCGAATACAGAAGAGCTCAAGTAAGAGGAGGTTACAACAGCCTTCTTGATTCCGGTGCCTCCCAGATATGTGAACAGAAGGCAGGTGAAGGTGGGCAACGACAGCGGGAGAGCAACACCATCAGAACCATGCAGATAGTGGAGGACGTACCTGCTATGCCATCACTTCCTCTACCAGTGGCCATGTTGCAGACCAACACTGGGAACAATGCAGACCCTGCTCGAGTCGGGGGTGGAGGAAATCTCACCACTCAGCACAGCAGAGCCGAGGCGGCGACGGGCGTCGGCGTGGCAGCCGACGGGCCTGAGCCCTCCGGCAATGAGGTCACGGCAGGCGCCACTGTAAACAGGAATGGATCAGGAGACGGCGACTATCAGCTGGTGCAGCACGAAGTCCTTTACTCGCTGAAGAACAGCTACGAGGTTTTAGAGTTTCTGGGTCGAGGGACATTTGGTCAGGTGGTGAAATGCTGGAAGAGGGCGACAAATGAAGTGGTGGCCATCAAAATCCTGAAGAACCACCCATCCTATGCACGCCAGGGACAGATTGAGGTGAGAACTTCATTGTCTGTGGCTTGGTAAACTGCCAGCAGTGGCCTGTTATATATAACATAGATATATATAATATTTTAAGTCATATTCTAATGAAATTTGGTCATTTTATCTTCAGGTGGAGATCTTGGCTCGGCTGAGTAGTGAAAATGCGGAGGAACACAATGTGGTCCGGGCTCTGGAGTGTTTTCAGCACCGCAGCCACACCTGCTTGGTGTTTGAAATGTTGGAGCAAAACCTCTACGACTTCCTGAAACAGAACAAGTTCAGCCCACTGCCACTGAAAATCATCAGACCTATTCTGCAGCAGGTAAAACTCACCTGTTAGCTGATGATTTACTTTCCCTCTATTTAAGTTCTTTATGTAAAAAAAAACAAACAAAAAAGCTCTTCAAGTACATATCAATCCATCTCTCCTGATAGGTATCTTTGGAAAGTCAAGTTGTACTTTTCTAACAACCTTTTTTTGGGTGTTTGCTAGCTGATTCCTTTTAGGGTAGTAGTCAGGTTTATAACACAGTCCCCTGCCGGGTTTTATAGGTTCACTTCAAGTTAAGTATATCCTGCCTTCTATAATTTATCGAGGTGAAATAAAGGGAACTTATAATTGTGCAGTTTAATAATAATGTGTATCTCCTTGTGCTTTTCCAGGTGGCTACAGCTCTCAGGAAGTTGAAGGATCTGGGATTGATCCATGCCGACTTGAAACCAGAAAACATCATGCTGGTGGATCCATCCAGGCAGCCATACAGAGTTAAAGTCATTGATTTTGGTTCTGCAAGCCACGTGTCCAAGGCTGTGTGCTCCACTTATCTCCAGTCCAGATACTACAGGTAAGACTTAGGACCATATAGGCGCATAAACAGCCTGGTATAGATCAAAGACTCTACTGACCAATCAGATCCATTAGCAGGTTTAATTGGTTTATCCAGAGCTCCTCATTCATGCATTGGTTAGTCTAAAATGCCTGATGTTTGACATTTTAAATATGCCTCAGTGTTATTGATGTAGAAAGAGCAGGTTGCCCTCTAGAGATGAATTGAGAAGGAGAACTTTACAAAAACCTGATGTACCGTAAAGGTAACACGTACGCTGTACCGATCTGAACTTTTCCCACAGAGCTTGGCGAAGTCTTTTCTCAGCCCAAGTCTGTTCTTATACAACATGTGCTGTATTGGCCTGCATGCTCTCACTTTACAGCATGCCTTTCTGTTTTCATTCTTTGCGTCTGATCTCTATTGAAGCAGGTAGCTCTACCTGCTTTATTCTGCTTCATTATGACTGAAGGGAACTAAGGGACTAAAGTGTCTAAAAGAAGATTTTTCATGTAAGGCTTATAGATAAAAGGAGCTACTGCTCATGGGTTAGGTTTTAAAACTTTAAAGTTGTAGGGAAATCATTCTGGCTTAAACATGTTTATAAATGTACTCTTTATTAGACGATATTGTCCCAAAAGTTAGAAAATGTATATATAAAAAACATTCTGTCTTAAAATTTGTGGTGGTTTTTTTCCTTTATCTTATGCAGGCCAGTTAGTTATACGTCAGCTTGTACACCTAAATTCGGCCAATCATATATCAACGGTCATCTGTCAATCAAATCTTTTCGGTCATAGCATCTTGATTCATATGTCGCAGCTAATATACGCAACGGTTGAAATAAGAATCCTTTCCTTTCCCATTGAGTTGCGTCCCAGTGTTCACGGGGATGGACGTCTGTGTCTTCAGCAGGCGTAGAGCTAACAGAACTGGCAGCGTTGCGAGGCAAGGGCTCAAACATGTACGGCTGGAAGCCTTCTACACCAAACCAAGCTTCTGCTGCCCTGGTGTCTTCTCCCACAACTTGTTTGTCCCCACTTTCCTCCTCTAAATAAAAAATGTATGACGGAGGAGACTCATCCACAACCTCCTCTTGCATGTTTCCTCTGTCCATAGCGTTCCTTGACAGTGTCGTTTCTAAGTCACCAATTTAGTGCTACTTGGTCCCAATGGAATTTCCTATTGGGAACCTACTAGCACTAAGTTGCTAGCTGGTTAGCAAGATGCTTCCGAGAAACTGGCCACAGCAAATTTGCTTGCGAACCTTCCGCCGCAACAATACGTTGATAATCGACCGATGTCCTTCACTTTCTTCACTCGTCTAAAGTCGTGCACCACTCGGGAGAATTCGGAAACGCGAATGGCCATTTGCCTGCCACTTTAATAAAAACATAATTAAACTTTAAGCTCATATTTTTAAGGCAAAATAAATTAAACCCCTGATTTCTTGCTAAATTTTCAGTCATTATATTTCTGTCCCATATATTTCTGCTGTATTTTTTCTTTATTAACCACACAGCAAAGCTGGAAATGTAATTCAATTGCATTCCTATTTGGACAGCTCTTCCTCTTAAGTCTTACAAAGTCTGCCAAAGTTGTGCAATTATTACACACACAGAGACTGTCGACAGCAAATCCACTGCACACACCCTCTGCTCCACTTTTCTTACCAATTGTTTTATTGATCTATAAGGAACAAAGCAGTTCCTCTGTTATTCTGGCTTTAATTTATGCTGCTTATGTTAATAAGGGGATGTGAAATTATGAGCTTCCTGCTCTGATGCAACTTCGGTTGAGCTAAAATGAGCGTTACAGCAGTGAAATATCGGCTGTAATCATGTAACACACTTCCTTATTTTTTATGGGTCGAATGGGTCCTTCCCTAGCACCCCCCTTTCTTTCTGAAGCTTGGTGTGGTGCACAGCTGTTATGTAACATGAAGGATTTGCTCCGCATTTGACCCAGTAAAGTGTGTATGAGTCTGAGCTCATGTTCCTGTGTGTCTGTGTATTTTGTCTTATGCTGTGTTGGCAACACTGAGATCACAGTTCAGTTAAAAAGAGGCTGGCATGAATCTAGGAGAGGTCAGTAAGGACACAAGAGGCGAGGGAAGAATGTGGTTTATGAAAACCCCACATTTAGATCCAGGAAAAAACATTCTGACATTCCTGCCTGTGTGTTTGTGTCTTTGGGTGTGTTCATATGTATGAGCTGATGCGGTGAATGCAAAGGATGGGTTCTACATCTCTTGTTACTTGTTCTGCTGTAATATTTATCACATTAGAAAATCGATGTGATTAAAATCTTTAGCTGATTACGGGGGGGGGGAAATCTAGTCATCTAAACTTCTAAAACCTTGGTAGCAGAAGAAGCTACATTAAGCTAATGTATTAATCGATCAATAAATACTTCCTTTGTTTGAAAAGGTAACGGTAAACTAAGTGGTTCCTTCTGGGAAAGAAACATTTAAGCAGACGAGCACTGAACCAGTTTTCATATCAAGAAGGAATGAAAAAGAGTACATCGGGTTAATCTGTATAAGCTGAGTCTATGGCTTTGTGTCTTGAAGAGAAACAGCACCAATCACTGAAGAACAAGCTCAGCTCTTTCATCTATAATCTAAGGTGTTGATGGTAGCAGCCCAGCTTTTGCTCCAGGATGGAGTCGCAGCCAAACAGCCAGACCAGATGAAGCTACTATGAATACAAAAAGCGGAGAGAACTAAGTTAGTGGTTGAACTAACAAAAGCATTAGGAATTGGAGACTAGAGATGGAATTAAGCAGGATAATGAAAAATGGTCTCTGTCCTCCAGCAGTATAGCCTATAGCAACATAACTATAGAGATAGCTCAGGATAGCCTGAGCCACTCTTTACTATAAGCTTTATCAAAAAGGAAAGATTTAAGCCTAGCCTTATAAATTCAAAGGACCACTAGTAAACCTGCAAATTGAGAGCAAAGTGTTCAGGTAGGAAGCTTGGTTATTTAGGGTTTTATATGTGAGAAGGTGGATTTTAAATTCTATTCTGGATTTAACAGGAAGTCAATGAACAGAAGCTAGGATAGAAAAGATAAGATCTATATTTTTAATTTGCATCAGAACCCTGGCTGCAGAATTTTGGCTCAGCTGAATCATAAAAATAGAAATGGATATTGCATCAGAATCCGTAAGGTTGATCAGGCTTTTTGGATTTGCATATTCTTGTGGCTCATTTTTAACAAAGTGCTTTTCTATAGAGGGAACCCTCCCTCCCCCATGGTATTAATAAACCAATCATGTAACATGAGTCTAGATTGTTTTAAAAAAAGTTTATTTTGTTTCTAAAGACTTTAGACTTGCAATACTAACAATGTTCAAGACCTGCAAGTAAAATGTTCAATTTCACTTTAGTCATAAACATCCTTTGAGTCTGATTAGTTCAAATATGATTGTTGAAATACGATCACACACATAATGTTTCACACATAGAAGCAGAGACTTTCAGACTATTTCTGTTTTCTGGTGAGGTCTAAATACGTCCACTTTAAGTTTTCTTGCACACCACATGCTTTAGTTTACTTTACTTTATACTTTATTTCGACCAGAGCTGAAAGTTAGCAAAGTTATGACCCAGTAGAAATGAATCTTTGCAGGTTAAGGTCTAATTCAGATGTCTGTGTTTAACAACATTTTCACAAGAGATTTAACGATGGGAAGCTTGTTCGTTTTATTTTTTATATTTTTATGAGGGTGATGGTATATGCAAAGCAGATAAACAGAGCCTTTTTTATCTGTTGCACTTTGTACTGCTGTTTTTGTAAAAAGGTTGACAGTATATAGAAAGGAGAGGCCCATGGAGCCTGCTGTGTTGTTTACCACTGGTTGGATATGTCAACATTTTTCACCTGCAAGGCAGTTTACTTTGAACATCAGGTCATCAGGAGATTTTTTTCATTTTTTCACTTTCTTTGTTTTTCTAAATCTAATCTGGGGTTTTCCCTGGTTTTTCCAGGGCTTTTTATTCAGGCAAAGTTTTTAAACACTCAAAAGTTTAAATGTCAGTCTGAAATGTAAACTGAAATCTTAAGTACAGGTTTGCAAGCTTCACTTGTTCTTTGAAGAATAAAGTACTTGTGTTTATGGTTATATCAGAAATGTTTTGAATGGGGGCACAGTTTTTCTCCTTTGGTGTCAAGGAAAAACGGCCTTATCTGTCATCAGTGGGGACGACGTGCTTTCCAATTATGGATCTGTTTTTGCTGGTTAATGAGTTCAACTCTTCAGTGGTTACCACAATTGTTAACCAATCTGTGGTTCTCCTCCATCTTAAACTAGAGCTTATTTGCCTGGACGCTTTATTATGGGGTCTGCAGTAACATTGTGAAAGATTACAGGGAAGTTTTTAGGGTTTAAAATTTAAAAAAAAGTGTTTTCAGGGTTGTTATAAGTGTAAGTATAAGTGTGGATGTTGGGCATAATGTATAGAAACACTGATATTTCCAGACTATATGCTCTTGTCTCATTGTCACCTCTGTCTGTCTTCTGTTTGCCATCCATTTACCCATTCTTTTATCTGATTATCCATCCTTCCAGTCGTCATTGATTTATTTGACCAACCACCTGCTGATCGTTTTATGCCTGTTTTTCCTGCTCCAGTAGGTTCTTTCTGGAATTTATGTTGGAAAAATTACGAATTTACACAAGAAATTGAGCTCTGTCTTTCAGATATGAGTGTAAAAGTCGTATACACTGAGTGCGAGGTGCACTTGATGTGAATGGGGAAAAAACTCCTTTCTAAAATCAATAATGGTCACAGTTCCCTTTAAACGATTTGTTAAAAGGTGGTATGCGCCTGCATTTTGTCCCACTACTACTACTTCATCCTTTTAGGGAATTTTATCATTGAAGCAAAGTAAAATCATATTTCTGTATTTAAGTTGTTGCAATAGTTAATGGGTCATTAATGCGTCTCCCTCCTCGCATACGGAAAGATTAACTAAATTAACGCTTTTTTGCTTTCTTTGCACGTTGAAGAT